TGGGGGGGGGGGGGGGGTGGGGGAACTAGAAGCTGTAAAAATCCTGGGCATCTTTTTTTTCTTTTCTTTTTCTTGTTGACTATGCATGATGATGGCTTTCAGTCTATGAGGGAATGACTGACTGATACGAGCACAGGAAAGCGAAATATATAATTCTTGGCTTGTGATTCGGATTGAATTTCCATGGAGCTGCAGAAACTGACATCATTTTTCTAGTAATGACCGTGCTGATCCTCGCCTTCCTCGGAACTGTGTTGAAATTTTCCTTAGAGGCGAAGAATCGTTTAGGGAGTATGTACTATTAGTTTCAATAATTCCGTGTTAGGGATGTCCAAATCTTTGTAGGTTCTGGTGTTGAAGATTGATTTTTTAGGCTCTAGGATGAACTCAAGAGCATTCTCAGCTGCCTGCTCAATTTGCATCACTGTGTTGAGCAAACTATGTTGCTGAGTAGTTGAAAATGTAGGTTTGTTTTATGCATATTAAGTAATTACTCAGGAAATCTGAGCTTTTGCTTCTTTAATTCCTCCAAGCATTGTTCTGTGTTTTAGAACAATGGCCATCTCTTTTTGTGTTCTTTGTTTTCCAGTTTAGTATAAAAATGTTACTGAAATTGCAGTCTAACTTATTCTTGCCTTCAAAGCTTATACCAACGATTCCACAATACACAACACATAAGCACGAACACTAGCAATATTTAGCCCGAAAGCCATCTTGTTCACACAACGAACACGAACAGCCTGTTCCATACTACTCATAACACGACCCGATTGTACATCAACGCTTATTCTTCTTCACGAGAATTGATACACAACTTCTTTGGGGAGAAGCTCAATTAGCTTTAGGGCCAGGAGGATATTTTCCATACAGATTAATATAAGTGAACATAGTTGAAGCACAATTATTGGTTAAATCATTCAGATATTTGGCATAGGGGCACGCAAATTCTGCAAGAGCTGAGCAGCAAATATTGGCTGTGTATTTAGGCCCCTTGCACTTGCCTGTGATGATGGTGTAGTTCGCAACTTCAAAATTCACTGGACAAGCTGCATTAATCCACTACTCAGTTTTGTTCCCTAGTATCAATTAAAATCTCAAACTAATAATTGTATCGAACCTTTTTGGACCTGAAGAATTGTAGATTCAAAGATATGCCCTGCAATTACAAAGGAAATCAGACAAAAAATATCGAAGTTTTGAAGCAACGAGCAAATAAATTTGAACATAAGTAGCCAACTTGTAAGTACCTGATGCGAAAGCCCCGACAAAGAGTATGGAAAGAAAGAGGAGAAGGAAGAGGGAGGAGCATCGATGGGACTCCATTTTGTTCATCTTGAGAGCAATGTGGCAGAGGGTTTCTTATAGTCTGAGATTGGGGTGTGGTTTGAGTTCTTGAGATCATATGAGCCGCCTTGACTTCACTCACTCCACCACCCCAAGTCTACTCATCTTTAAACAATAATAGGACTTTTGTTATTTTATCTGATAACCATTTGATTTTTCAAACTTTGGGTTCGTTTTTTCTAACAATTTTCTATCATTATTTATAAAATTTGAATAATCTCACATCTCGTACGAGATTTGAATTGCATTCAAAAGTTAGCTATGGTTCGTTTGATGTATTTGTAATAGTAGATGCAGAAGTACTCTTATGAACTATAAGATAAGTTGCGTCCATAGATATTATATGCAAATCCATCATTCATGACTTGTTCATAATTACATATGGATATAATTACTATGAGTCAGTAAATTTGACTTCATAACTCGAGGAGAAATTTTTAGTAGATGCCTAATTATAAGTCTAAGAAGATGATTAGTGATTAGTTTAGGAGAATTGTAAGTAGATACTCACCTCTGAAGAGAGTTTAAGAAATTTGTTAATATTTTTTCTACTATAAATTGTCCTCATACGTATGTTTTATTTACAAGAACAAAGAGTTGAAAAGTACAATGATTAAGGTTATTTGGTACAAAGAAACTCTTTCGTCAAGTTGTTCTTTCTACTTCACTTATTTGTTTCGGTATACTTTGATTAAGAGTCTAAACTAACATTTGGTTTAAAGTTAGAATGTCGAAACAAATGTCATCACCACAAAAAGTCACCAAGAAGATGTGACAATGATAAAAAGCGAAAAGGAGGAGAGTTTAACGCTCTAGTAACTATTACTATGAAGAGTAACTCTGCAACATGGCCAACAAAAATGTGTTTAATCTACAGGCACAAGGTGTGTGGGGATGCCATCGAGCAAGACGACGAATTTGGGAAGCGTAAGGACAAGATGACTCTTGTTGCCATCTACTTAGCAGTTTCAGAGGATGTCACTCTCATTGATAGATGTGTAATACCCGAATTTTTGGATAAATAAATAAAAAATAAAAAGAACAACATAGGGGCAAATTTTGCCCCTACTCTTGAGAAGTTAGGGTTTGGGAGAGAGGAAGAATAGAGATGACAAATAGTTGGAGATCGAATCCAAGGCAAGAAACTTGGAAGCAATACTTCTCTCGGTGCTGGGAAAGGAGTTTGGGTGGTGGATTCGCTCATTCCGGCAAGAATATCTGAGAACGGACAAAGTAAGGTTCCGAACTTCTTGTTTCGATTTTATCTAGATCTGAGGAGTTTCTTGAGCGGTAGATGTGTAGTTTTTGAGGTATGTAACTAAAATAAGATTCACACAGGTTTATTGAAGTTCATGTACGAGAATCGGATGAAAATCGGAGTTGAATCGGACTTTGGGTAAACCGATCGAAAACAGAAAATGTGAGTTTTCCGTATCTTTGGACGGCCTTAACTCATCCTGTGTTCAAGAAAAAATATATTGTAGAAGTAGACCTGCTACAATTTTCATGAAGAAACTTGTTTATGGATTAAGGACTTAAAGATAAGAAAATCAGAAGAAAATAGATAGAAGACGCCATCTGGAAATTTGAAACACACGCAGGAGAGAGAAAGAGACCGCCACGCGTCGACCGGCGATGGAAGAGCGCGGCGGAGCCGGCGAGCGTCACGTGGCAGCGTTCCACTGGTGCGCTGATTCTGGTCGACCCGTACGCCCGCCAAACCGGTCCGGAAACCTGCGGTCCAACCCAACTTTTCTCGCCAATCACGGTTCGCCACGTGTCGCGCTCAGAAAATTTGAAGGTAAGACCGCGGCCGCTGGGGTTCGAAACACGGCACTGCCCGGCGCGCATGGGGAACCTGCTGGCGCATGCATGGCGCGTGGGACCCCAATCTCTCACCCGTTTGACCTCCGTTTGCTTGTTTTCCGCCCCGATTTCAACTCTGATCCTATTATTATGTGAATTAGGTCCTATCAAGGAATTTTCAGAATTTTTGGAATCTTTTCCGACAAATAATTCGAGCTTGGGAAGGCACGCGTCAACCACTTAAGTAGCTGTTTGGATTTTCACGAGCAATACTTGTAGGAACCGCTAGGAACAAGCATGCAAGCTACCACCCATTAACTTAGTTAGCCGGACCTAGTATATTAGTATGGAAACGGTGAAAATGAAGTGATTAAGGAAAGCTAGATATGAAATGTTTATTAAATCTGTTTTATTGAGATTCTGATAAAGTATGTATGCATGAGGATGGAAAACTTCTAAAATCTGCGCTCCGGGTAAAGATGGATGTTATCTTCCCGTTGAGCATGTTTGTTAATATTGCATGAACTGGTGCGTGTTAACTCTTATGCATGATGATTGCTGTGTTATCTTTCTTGATGAATAGGAAGAAATTATGAGCTTAGATTAGGGTGCTTGTGACTAAGTAGGCTTGATGAGACCCTAGAATGGGAGACTTCTAGAATACCGTGCAATTAGGCCCGCGAAATGATTACCAGCGGATCCAGAGTCCAGAATTCCAAACCCGATAGGTTTGTGAGACCATGCACGAGAATCCTAGAGATACATGAATCCAAGTCTAAGCCACCAAGTTCTCCACCCTAGAAAGAATAATAGGTCACCACGGTAACAGTAGGTAGCCCACTAGAGTTGAGCAACGTGGATAGTGTCATCAGAACCTCCACTTTCCTCTCTGCTCCGATACTGTACCGTCGAGACAAAGCTCCTGTACGGAGATCGTTGAGCTTGACAGATTCGGATAGGGAAGTGTGGCAGGTGCCCAGCCCTAGTGGTGATAGCTAAGAAGTCTTCTGAACAGGACTCCTGGGTCGTAGAAACCCATCCCTGAGCAGGGGACGTGGAGCCACATAGGATGACTCAGTAGCTGACCGGCACACAGGGGGTCGCACCCTGTTTAGTGAATGTATAGTCTCGTGTGAGAGTCGTCAGCTAACCTCCACGGATGATGTTCAGAGAGAGTTACGTATTCAGATTCAGCCATACGATCCCCTCAGATTTACTTATGAGGTCGCGCCTCAACTTAGGACACTGATCATATCACTGCTTAAGATGGGCAAGCCTCCTAAGATACAGAAACGAAAGTTGCAGCTTAGATCACTCTCTTTAGAAACCCGAGAGAGACCGTGTATACCTACCAAGATAAGGATGCGAAAAGAGCCTACAAGTAGGTTGCTTACTTAGTATATTTTATACTTACCCCTTTCTCCCCTTTTTTTCAGGTACCGGTCGAGGTGGCGGGGGTGTCTGTCTTCATATTTAGAGTCTTTTGTATTTCATTTTATATTTGCAATTCCTATTTGGTAACATTTGACTTTGATTTTATATTTAATTTTAGTGTCCTTAATTTCCTTTTCTTGTTTTAAATTTTGCCAGATTTTTACCTTCCATTTTTATTTTTAGTCACGATTCGGTCTTTCGAAGCCTTGAAAGTCGAGTTTTGACAAGAGGACTCCACAAAAGCTGTGGAAGATGCTACAAACAATGCATGTGGATGTGGAACGGGTCAAAGAAACAACGGTGCAGATCTTAAAGAGGAATTTCGAGGCTATCCGCATGAAGGATGATGAATTGATAGACGACTTTGTCATGAGGAGATCTCCGTTGCTAAGAAATTTCTTTGAATTGTCCCTTAAGATTCATGCAGATTGTTACCTCCATTGAGCAGTTCAATGCTCTCAAAAACATGTCGGTTGAGGAGGTCATTAGTCATCTTAAGGTTCACGAGCAGAGATTTCGTAGTTACGATGATAGGAGTACAATGAACGGAATGATTCTGTAATGATTACATCCACAAACAGATTATGTGTATGACCGAATAAAACTTAGTCCATGACTGGAAAAGTATGACCCATGGGAACTGCATCCCAATAATTCATAAACGTTATAATATATATCTTGAAGTTTGAAGTATAGTGGTCAACAAGAACGACAAAAATGGGGCGCTCAGAGTGTAAAAAAAGGCCATGAGAAGAGAAGTACAAGTCCAGAGGCAACGATGATTGCAGGAGATCGACATTTTGAGAGCGGGGTCGAGTTTGGATGGGATGGAGCTGGCAATTGAGGGCAAGCAAGACCTTGATCTCCTTCTCGACATATGCTGGAGAAAAGGCCAGGTGGGTACTTTCCATGGAGGTTAATGTAGCTAAACATGGTTGAAGCACAAACAGTTGTCATATCATTCATATCATCAACATAAGGGCAACAGAGTTCAGTTAGAGCTGAACAACATAGCTCTGGAGAATATAAAGGCCCCTTGCATTTGCTTGTCATGATTGTGTAGTTCAAAAATTCAAAGCTCACAGGGCAAGCTGCACAAATTTGTTACAACTACATGACATCATCAAATTACTTCATACAGCTTCAAGAGTTGGGAGTGTAACACCCCTAAATCCACCGCTAGCAGATATTATCCTCTATGGACTTTCTCTTTTAGATTTCCCCTCAAGGTTTTTAAAACCCGTCTGCCAGGGAGAGGTTTCCACACCCTTATAAAGGGTGTTTCGTTATCTTCTCCAACTGATGTGGGATCTCACACGGGGTGATCAAGAGAAAGGGTAAACAAAAAAACAGGGAACCTTTTTTAGTCTGAAGGAGTCGCCGTCCAACAGAGGTCTCAGATCCAAAGATTCCATCTGAAAGTGTATACAAGAAAAGAGGGAAGATTCAACAAACAAATTCAAACGAAGCATTCTTAAGAACAAGAAAACCCCTTCAAAGAAACAGAAGTGAATACCTGATATGAAGGTTGAATCTGCAGAGGAAACAACAAAGAAGAGGAAAAACAGAAAGGAGCAAAAGAACTTATCAGAACCCATAATCTATGAGATTATTCAGCTTTGGAGCTGGAGAGATCACTGTGTTCAAACTCAGGGAATTGAATCAAAATGTTAGTTCAGTGTTCTTCATTCATTTCTATTTTCTTCAGGCAATTGAAAATAGAAAAGAAAGAAGAAACCAAGATTTGAACCTAAATGTAGCATAAAACCATGAAGAAAAAACAGTAAGGAATTAAATATGGAGAGATAAAAGCGGTGCAGTTACAGATAGCAAGTCATTAAGGAATTTGAGAGAAAGATGATGGAGTTGGCTCAAGTTCTACCTGAAACCAATTCATTAAGGAATTTGGTGCATTTGAAAGTTCTCCATATGAGGCAAAACATGACACCAAAGCTCCCCATGCGATGATAGCTCTGTTGGGCATTTCTTCAAACAGTTGATAGGCATGGTGCAAACCCAAAATCATAACTCTCTCCATTCAACATCTCTCGTGGAATATGGATTCCGTTTATCCTTGATTCAATAAATGATCCCAAATGGACGCACTCACCAGAGTTGATTAGTCGATGAAAGATCCATCGCCGCCAAATACAATTGGTTCTTTGGGACTCTAATATCATCGCGCTCCAAGATGCTAAATCTTTAGCCGTCATATGTGTCGAGGATGGTTGGAAGTGAGTTCCACCTTAACTAATTTAGGGAGTAGTCGAGGATTGTTGGGACACCTTAGCTAATTTAGGGAACGATCATGTGTTTATAAGTAGAAAATACATCTCCATTCTATTCGTATAAGACATTTTGGGAAGGCAAAAGCAAATGCTATGAAAACTTATGCTCAAGTACAATATCATACTATCTATTGTGGAGAGTCATATTCATCTAATAATTTTCAATTGTTGCGCATTAGGCCTCTGATCGTTGTATTGTATACAAACAAGCAAGTCGGGAAAAGTAGGGAAATGGAATTGTGTTCAAATAGAGAGATTATTGTCAGGATCATGATAAAATCATAATTGAATGATGATGCTGTATAGACTTTGATGATATGTATTTTTAAAATGAATTAAACTACTAATTACAAATTAATTTTAAATTTGATAAACTAATTTCAAGTTGGTTGGGTTATTAAGTTGTTGTTTAAAAAAATATATATATACTGAAAAAAATAATAAATAAATATATATATAATATTTAAACCATAACTAAAATCCCATGAAATTCTCATTTACACGTTAAAAGTCAATCACTAACCTGGGTAAATTTGAAATATTATTAATATTCGTAATAATCTTAGATGTAAGGTAGTGTTGGGTTAAATTATAAGCTTATTTTTGGATGAATTGGATTACCAAAAAAATGAACCTACTAACAGATCTGAATTTTTTATTTTCCAAAAATTTCAAAGAAAAGAATTAACCAAATTCAATCTTTATAGTTTAAGCTCGGTAGTCGAAATTAGTCAGATTATCGAACCATATAAACATAGCTTAAATCTCGAATGGAGTACACGTAATTACACTACGTCTCTTGAACCTACATGTCAAAAGTTTGTCAAGTAAGACATTGTCTATGCAAGAGACTGACCTCTCCACAAAGAAAAAGTAAGTCTTCCATTAGTTTAGTGGTCGCCACTTCCCATAGCACTTGCTTATGATGATGATACACCAAGTCTCCCTGACAAATAAAAAGCACAGAAACCTCCAATAAGAACTTTGAATAAGAAATAACTCACTTTCCTCAGCCATTACCGGTAGATTACAAGTTTAGTTCATGAAACAGAATGAACTATGACAATAAACAAAGGGAATTGCAGTTTTCGCAGCAAGTTTAAGGGTAGGTACACTTACAAATGAGAAGAAAGAATGGTGAAAAATGAACCTTGTTATAATAGCCACAGCAGTAGTACAAATCCAGGCGAGAAGATCAGCAGGCGAGATGGCAAATTTGCTATGGAACCCCAACTTTGATCGGCTGAAGCGGAGGGGGGGAGCACAGGGCATGCCAGACCATTCTTATCACCCTTGCATTCGCTAGAGAAGAGACCAGGAGGGTATTTTCCATACAGATTAACGTAACTGAACATGGTTGAAGCGCAATCGTTTGTTGGATCGTTGAGATCATCCGAATAAGGGCAAGCGAATTCAGTCAAAGCTGAACAACAGAGTTTGGGAGGGTATTGAGGCCCCTTGCACTTGCCTGTGATGATGGTGTAGTTCAAGAATTCAAAGTTCACTGGACAAGCTGCATAAATTGTGCATACATTACATGATTACAGCAAATTTGTTTGATAATAGCTTAAGAAAATACAACACTAAAACAATATCGATACAAAAACTCCTGAGATGCCAAATTTAAAGCAAATACCATATGATGAACAAGTCAGAGAATTGAAGCAGGATAAAAATCAATTAATCCTAAGGAAGAAATACACATTTTCCAAACCATTAAATACGTACAATTCCTTAAACTTCGCACCGCTGAAATCGAGTGTGGCGTAATTCACGGATGGGTGGATCAATCCAATACGAAAATGAAATAAATAAATCATTCGATTCAACCAGATAAAATTAATTTAATATTTATGTTTAATTTCATTATTTCACCGCAATCGTGGCAAAAGCGAAATCTTCGAAGAACACTAGTAGGTTCGAGAGAATCAAATAATCAAATCAGCAAAAATCCACAACAAGTAATCCCGAATTCCACACAACCTCGAGAAGGAAGAAGCACAGATCGGCAAGATCTTGTACAAAACAAATACTAACTAAATAGCTTGCAAACCCTAACAGAAGCAGGCCTCCAATTAAAAATTTACGAACTCAGCAAAAAAGAGAAAAAAAAAGTCGGAGAAAGAGAGTAGAACGTTTTTTCGCTTGTAGGAGGCCCCGACCGATTGAAGCCTTCGATTCAAAGACATCCGCTGCAAAATAAAAAATAAACTCAGCTTTAAAGACAAAAACAGAGAAGAAGAAGAAGAAGAAGAAGAAGAAGAACCAGGAGAGCGAATGATGACAATGTCACGGTAGTTGTGAATGTGAGGTACCTGAAATGGAAGTGGAGGAAGAAGCAGTGAAAAGCAGTGAGATGAAGAAGAGGAGAAGCATTGAGAAGTTGCAGAAGGACCTATCGGAGACCGTCATTCCGGCGGGAGAGATAGAGAGAGAAGATTGTTCTTCTTCTTCGACGAGAAGGCGAGTACAGGCTGTTGGATTGAATCTCCACTCACAAAATGCTTTTGTATTATTATCATGATCATTATTTTGTCTAAATCCCACTCTCAACTACTAAGTGCTCCAAATAAAAGGGTTGGGAATTAACATACTATCATGGATAACACGATTTGAACAAGTATGACATGAACATTTGACATACAATCATAGATATTACGTCTTGAACAAGTATGACATGAACATCTGACATACAATCATAGATATCACGTCTTGAACAAGTATGACATGAACATCTGACATGCGATCATAGATATCACGTCTTGAAAAAGTATGGCATAGACATCTGACATGCAATCATAGATATCACGTCTTGAACAAGTATGACATGGACATCTGACATGCGATCATAGATATTACATTACGTCTTGAACAAGTATGACATGAATATCTGACATGCGATCATTGATATCACGTCTTGAACAATTATGACATTGACATCTGACATGCGATCACAAGTAACACGTCTTGAACAAATATGACATAGATATCTGAAATGCGATCATAGATACATATCTTGAACAAGCATAATCGTGACTCTGCCTAGTCTAGAGTTATTTTACCTTGAGTTGTATATAAGAACTTTGGAAGAAATTATTTAGTCTATGTTTAGGGTTGTTATGTTATTTTGTATGGGTTAGTTATTTTGTATGTGTTGTTAAGTTGATTAATCTAAAGAGTTATTCTAATTATATTGGTTGGATTTGAATTTAAAATTATTATCACGGTTATCTTTTTTAAATTCGTTGATGATTATATTTTATATTTTAATTTTGAATAGTAAAAATTCAAATTTTACATTGAGTTTATTGATGGATTTCATGTTAAATAGAGCAATTATACAATCATGACCGGTGGGCTCATACTTGCACGTGTGAGCAGTGTGTAGAATAGTAAATACATATTCAATTACCTGTTTAGGATAGTCGTTGTAGGAATATAGATTGATATGATAGGTCCCAGTCATGATTGTATGTGTTTGCATCTAACCTCGATAGAGAGTTACCGAGTATTTCTTAAAATATTCAAGCTATGTGATACTCTTATTTTTTCAAGTAAAGGCAACACTCCCCTATACAACTATATACAACTAGGGGTGTACACGGTCTAGGTTGGGTTAAGTTGAGGAGTTTTTTTTACCCAACCCGAAAGTTCGTGTTGGTTGGATTGGTAACCCAATCCAACCTTAAACTTTTCACAACCCAACCCAACCCAACCCTCTATATTTTCGGGTTGGGTTGTCAATTTTTTTAAAAAAGTTTTATTTATCTACAATTTATAAATATTCAGATACAATCTAATCAATTCATAATAAGACTGATGGAATCACAACCTAGAAGACCGTGGCCCATACATAAGGGAGTTTGCAATTTAAATTTAGCAGACTATAGGTTAGTATATGTTCGTTAATATTTTCATTTAGTAGCATATAGGTTAGTATAGGGCATTTTTACTTTATGTTATTTTCAAATTTTGTTATTTTATATAAAAGCCTTCTAGATAATAGGTGAGACTAAGATTATGTTTTTATAATAAAATTTTGAATGATATATTTTCGCATAAAATGTCTATGATATTTATATAGTAACGAATTTAAGTTAAGTAGAAATCTAGAGCGGTTACAACTTTTTTAATAAGCTTTGATCAATAAATTCTCCTTCTACATTGAGAGTCATGACACGGGCTCTAAATCTTTAGCTTTAGGGGAGGAAGCGGAATAATATTGTTGAAGGAGTCAATAGAAGAAGAGGTCGATATAGCTTGGAATAAGAGTAAGTTTGGAGCGTTTTTCTAGAAAAATTACAGAGGTGAGTACCATCCTCTACAAGCTCTATCTTAGTGTACATTGAGCTAAATGCTTTGAGCATTGATCTTAGATCTCCGGGGTTGATAACTCTACAATATTAATAAAGGGATCATCGTAATTTAACTACTAGATTATGCACAACCTAGAAACACAAGAATAGGAAAATTATAAAGACACCTTGACTTACTACTAGAAAATATAGACGAGCTCGAGTTTCAAAAAATTGTGTGCATCATCATTGGCTGGAGGTAGAAGATAATGACGACGTAGTTAGTTTACTTAAATTGGTCGAAGTCATCCAATTATTTACTATTAACTAGTTCTCTTGAAATCCCTTTAAGATTTGAAGATACGGCACGTTTGCTTCTTAGAAATATTGAATTAAGTAGGTAAATATTGAATGGCTCATCCCATGATTCCAATATGATACTTAATGTTCGGTTTTGAACCAGTCGAATTTATTGACTCACAATAACCTGTTGAATGAATTATGACTGTACTTTTAACGATACGAGTACAATATAATATAATGGTGAAAAACATACCTAGGTCGAATTCTCTAGTTTAGCTAAACATGCATTTTTAGTGGCCTAGTCCAAACCTTTTCCAAATTTTCATTTCTAGGCTCAATACATCATCTCATCTAAGTTGTTGCTGTCTCACTTGAAAAGGAGATATTCAAAAGCCAGAACTTTGCAGGCTTTTGTAAGCTTAGCATCATTAGCTGTACAGGTTTTGGCTTCAAAATTATTATTATTATTATTATTTTCTTGTTTAATTCTACATTGCTAATAACAGCAGAGACCGGGTGGGGCAAGGTAAGAAATTGGATGGAGATAGGAATACAATCCCGTTTATCTAATGGGACAAAATCTTTCTCGACTCTTTCCTATTCTCCATATAAATGGAGATTCTTCACTCTATTGAGATTGGATCCCCACATAATTACGGCCCCGTTAAGTAAATGGACATCTCTATTTTTTCCATGTGCAAACATCAGCCAGCATGTACCATTGGGTGGGTGGACCTCGGAAGCTATCTTGGAAACAATATATGAGTAACTTGTCATTGTGAACATTGCTGCCATGTTCCTAAGAAACTTTGAAATTCCATAACTTTGTCCACCAATTACAATTAGAAGAGTTAATCAAATTTGTACCTAATTTTAGTTAATAAGAAACCCTTCCCTAAACTTTTGATTTGACCAAAAGAGGTTCATAAAATGTTAGAAAAATGTTTACTTACAATCAAAAGACCGACCCACCTGCCTTTCAGGGTTGCGGCGCAAATGTATTCAATTCCTGCAATGATATCTCCATTATTCCACTGAATATTAGAAAAATTATCATGCACAAGTGTTATTGGAACAACTTTAATGGGAGATTGATTGATGCAAGTCCTAGTAGCATGGACAACGAATTTAACAAAAACAATAGAAATACTTCTCTCTGCTCTGGAATTCAATAATTAGACCGTGAAAGTAGACAGATTATTACATTTACATTAAAGAATTGCCGGGTTGAGGAGTAATTTTTCCACAAACCCCTCTGCGACTAGAATTCTTGTAATGGTAAAACAAAAAAGAAGATAATGGTGAGAAAAAAAATGCAACTAAGAATCTGTAGAAGAGAAAGTCGTTTTCATTCTCATTGATTGGGAACACTTTGGATTTTAGAAATTGAGCCTATAGGGAAACGTCTATTCTACTTTAGAGTACATCACGATTCATCTTTAAAGAACTAAAAGAGAAAAAAAAAACATTTAAAAATTACTTGGAAATCGGAAGCATGTGGAGGAGGAGGAGTTGCTGGTTGCTGCTACTATTGCAAAGCCACGTTATTCCGCCTTCTTTCTTTTCTGTACTCACCCCTCCAAACCCTGCACTCTCTATGGGAAACATTAGCCAGCTTTCTTTACACATTTTGTCAGCCTTGTCTGTAAACACCTCCAAAATTATATATTTCTTTTTTCGTGTATATATATATATATATATTGGAAGAAAGAAAGAACAAAGACAGAGGTGATCCAACCAAACAAAGGGTGAAAGTGTACACGTAGATGCATTTATCTGTTTTTGCTACATCTCTCGTTTCTATTGCCGCCAGCCATTGTCCATTGGGTTTTGTTGTCACTCCACGTGCTTGTCTTTGCTCTTGCTTCTGTGTAACCATTTTTCATTTCTTCACCTTTTTGTACTTTTTGTAATCTAACACAAAAATCTTCTCTGCTGCATGTATAAGGGTTATATCAGGGTTAAAATTTTTAGTAATGAAACATGATACAGAACAACTTGTACACACTTGGGTTTGACAATAATTTTAGATTCAGTTTATGAATATTAAGTCTAAGAATACTTCTTATATACTTTTTACACATGTTTCAAAAAACCGAGCCATGTTTTCAAAAACAACAAAATAATTTTCAAAAAGTTATTTTTGTTTTAGGAGTGAATTTTGCTAAAAAATCAAATGTTTTCACTAAAAAAAAAAGAAATTCAATATAGAGAAATAAGGAGAGAAACAAGCATAATTTTCACAACCAAAAGTCAAAGTTATCAAATGGAGCCTTCTCTCCTAGTTTTCGGTTTTTAAAAATCTACTAATCATAAATTCTTTATTGTGATTTTCACACTTAAACAAACATTTAAATTCTAAGCTAAATTTCGAAGTTATTAAGAATTACTTTCTTTAGTTTTCAAACTTGGCTTGGATTTTAGAAACACTTACAAGGGGTAGATATAAAGCAAAGAACCTAGTAAGAGGAAGTTATATTTATATTCTTAATTTTTAAATACTAGATGGTTATTAAACCAGACTTTCCTTTTTCATTTTCTATTTTCAAAAACTACCCTATCTTCGCTGCAATTTATTTGATATATTGTACAATTTTTAAAAAACACATTACAGGTTTTAGCGAAACTCCAAAAGAAAAAAAAAAGTTCATAAATCTTTTAAAAAGTAGTATTTACAAGCCTGATTTTTAAAAAGGAAAAAACAGCTTTATTCTCAAAAAAGTAAACCAGAAATCAAATATTCATCAGTGGAAGCCTTTTAATAGTTTACTTTATTAATGGATGGGAATTTTTCTACAATAGGACCCCATTTGAATTGAGGCCTCTCATATCCTTTTCACAATGTTTGAAAATTTCCAAGTTGGTATTATTATAGTTCAAGATTTCTGGATGTGAAATGGGCACGAAGAAAGATAATG